GCGGATTCGCCTACTACCTCCCCTTTGGCCGTGCTGGTGTGTGCGTCTATTGCAATGGCGATGGATTGGACATTCGAGTGCTTCGACGTGGCGACTGCGTTCCTGTCCGGGCTGGAGCTGGAGCGGGAGCTGTACGTGAGGGCTCCTAAGGACGGGCTTCCGGCCGTCGACGGCGCTGGATGGCCAGCTGTGCGGCCTTATGCGTTGCTTCGTCTGCTGAAAGGGGCGCGCGGTGTGACGGAGGCGCCTCGGTTGTGGTATCTCCGAGCCCGCCAGGTGCTGACGGACGAGGTCGGCTTTGTGGAGCTGCGCTGTGCTCGGGCTGTCTTCGTTTATCGGGCGACCGGCAAGTTGATTGCTATGTTGACGTTGCACGTCGACGGCGGCATGCTGTTTGGGGACCCGCGCGACCCCCAGTACCAGAAGGTGAAGGCGAATATCAACAGGCGTTTCAACATCAAGCACTGGAAGGAGGGCAATGACAAGGAGGCAGTCGCCTATCTCGGGGAGGAGTGGTGGCGCCACCCCGATCACATCGAGATCAGCATGCACGAGTACATCGGCAAGTTGACAAAGCACCCCCTTGCAAGGGGGGAGGACGAGGAGCGGGAGATGACTCCCGAAGAGCACCACGACTTCCGGAGCTTGCTCCAGAAGGTGCGCTGGCCTGTCGCACGCGTGGTGCCACAGCTTGCGTACAGTGCGTCGGCGCTCGCACAGAAGGATCCGAAAGGTCGGAGGTTATTGCACCTGCGAGTGCTCAATGACATCATCGACCGGCTTCAGGACTACGACAAGAGAGGTCTTGCGACTCTCCGGATCCGCCGCGTGGACATCGAGCGCTTGCAGGTGCTCACGCTCATGGGCGCTTCGTTTGCGAAGGAACCCGGCTGTGAGAGCCAGATGGGGTTCATGAGCATGTTTACGGACGTCCGAGTGTTGAAGGAGTTAGCTGTGCGTTGTCTAGTGGAGTTCCAGAGTAGTACTATTACACGAGTTGTTGGGTCCACGATGGCCGCAGAGTCTGCAGCCATGTCCGTGGCTTTGGATCGGCAGCTCTACCTCAGGCTGCTGATCGAGGCAGTCTTGTACGGGGAGCCGCCCTTGCAAGGGGACTGGAGGCTGGTGCTGAAGGTTCTGGGGGCGCTTGTGACGGATGCGAAGTCGCTCTACGATCACGCGTCCAAGGTCGGCTCGATGCCGGTGTCTCGGCAGACCCTCATCGACTTGTTGGTGGCCAAGGATTTGATCGAGCAGGAGGCCACCAAGTTCAAGTGGCTGCCCAATAGCCACATGCTGGAGGACGTGCTGACGAAGGCTGTGCAGCCTAACGAGGTGCTATTGCAGTTCCTCCGCCACGGACTGTTCAGCATGGTGCCTACTGCTGAACAGGAGGATGAGGAGGCACACCGTCTGCGGCTGCGCCGCGGACAGCGTGAGAGAGCCAAGGAGCGGAAGGCCCAGCGTCGGGCCGCCGTTTCAGGGCCTGCGAGCCCGTGAGGTCCTGTTGCAGCCGCTGCATGGACCTGGTGATGGCTACGGTGACGTGCACACGCACATCGAGACTACAGTCTGGATTAGTGAGTCTGGACATTCATATTTCATAGTTTGAGCCTCAGGCCGCATTTGTGCTTGAGGTGTTTCGGCCCGTGGGCCGGTATAGGCGATGACTGCGTGCCGCGTTTCACGCTTGTAGGAGGCGGCATCGGGGCAGCATTGTTCTCACCCAGTGTGAAGAGGGCGCTCCCCTGCCCCTCTGCCGTCCGTGCCGCCTTGTAAGCATGATGCACATACTTTTCATGTTTGTGGCGTGCACGCTGCCCGCCGCCGTTTTGGACCTAGTCCTAGGGCCATGGGACTGCACCCGCAGTTTGACCGCCGCGCGGTCCGAGCAAAAAGAACTGCCTCCTCTTCCTCCTCCTCCTCCTCCTCCTCTTCCTCTTCCTCCTCCTCCGCCTCCTCCTCTTCCTCCTCCTCCTCCTTCTCCTACCCTTCCTCCGTCTCCTCATCCTCCTCCTCTTCCTGCTCCGCCTCCTCCTCTTCCTCCTCATCCTCCTCTTCCTCCTCTTCCTCCTCCTCTTGCTCCTCCTCCTCTGACTCCTCACTTCCTTCTCCTTCTAGAGAACTCCTCCCTGTCGCACCCCGAGGCCCGTCGAAAGTGCCGGCTGGGCGTTTCGCTTGAGACTTCCTCATCGCTTATGACCCCGATGCTTCAACAATGAACAGCTTCACACATGGAGGGCCGTTTAAACACATTGCAGGAGCTTCACGGGTTGAGGGCGGGCCCATCTCACATTGTGGCTCTTGCCCGAGCGCCGCGCGCATTCGTTTTAAGAGAATCGCAAGAGCTTCACGGATTGAGGGCGGGTCGTTTTCAATCTGTGGCTCTCCATTTAGCGCCGCGCGCATTCGTTGAACACGTGCAAGAGTCATTGATTGAAGGCGGTTCGTCTTCAAAATGCTTCTTCCGCCTTGGCGCACACTCGTTATGAACATTTGCAATAGATTCACCGGTTCTCATTGTTAACGTACCAGAAGCTGTCTTTTGGAACGGATCACGATTGTCTGGGCGCAACGGTTACGTTGATTCGGGGTTGAAGTTCCAGGAATGGTGATCTGGCACGGCTCAGGATCGCCAAGACGTAAAGTGGAGACACATGCCAAGGAACACCCTGCTCGCCTCCAGGATGTCCTGGGTTTCGTGGGTTTCGATGGTCGTGTTGTGGAGAGCGTGACGCCCCCGCACCAAAAATCCATGGACGTCCTGGGGTCTCAGGGTCGGGTTTCTTGTGGAAGGTTTCTTGTGGTCGAGCCCCTATTGTAACAGTCAGCTTAACTCGGTGCGTGGAAGTCCTGAAAATGGCGTTTTGGCACAGGTCGAGGTGTTCACGTGGTTGTCCCCCGACGGGGCAGCTCCCTCAGTGGAAAACTAACCCCTGGTAGGGGCTTGTGAAGAGGAATCTTTGGAGGGGGGGCGTATTTCGACATCTTTGATGCGTCTTGGGTTTGCACTTGTCGTCGTCCTCCTCCTCCTCCTCCTCCTTTGGCGCCAGCTCGGCCCAAAGCGGTCTGGTCCGAACCAGCCTCCGAACCCGCACCGCGGGCGCTTCCCGCGCCGCTGCCAGCCCCTGCCTCTCGTGCCCGCGGCCCCTCTCCGTTCCTCGCGAGGGGCGCCGCCGTGGTGCGCGGGAGGCGGGGCGCCCGCGGCGCCCCCCGCCGCGGAGCGCCGCGCCCGGGCGGGGCGGGCGCGGGCGCGAGCGGTGCAAGCGCTGCTGCGGGCCTTCGGCGGCGTGCTTGCTCTGTTGTGTCACGGGAGGTGAATGTTATGTGCTGCGACGCCGTGCCGTGGCAGGTGCCGTTCTGTCACGGTGAGGCGTTCTGGTACGGCATGTGCTGCCCTGGTGCGGTGTGTTCTGCTCGGACGTGTGTGCTGTTGGGTGGTGTGTGTGGGGTGGTGCTATTCTCGGTTCTGTCGGCGTGGGCGTGGCCCTCCGGGCGGCCCTGAGCGCGGGGCGAGCGGTGGCCGCTCGGACCGACGCCCAGGCTCCCGAGCGCGGGGAGGAGCGAGGGCCCCCACCCGCCGCTGAGGCGCCAGGCGCCGCCGCGCCACATTCCACCTGGGCCCCTTGCGCGGGTAACTGTTCAAGCGAATGTGCACAGTGCTGAGGCGAGAGTCACATTTTGACAAGGAGCCGACGTTCATCTTTGAAACTGCAGTAAACTTTCATAACCAATGTGCGCGGAACTATGGCGAGAGCCACATGTTGAAGCCATCCAGCCTTCCGTTCGCGAAATTGTTGCAACTTTTAAAATGATGTGAACGCGGAGTTGTGGCGAAACCCGCAGCTTGAAAACCACTCGCCCTCCATCAGTGAAGCTGCTGCACATTTCAAGCTTCAGGACCATCAGTGGCGAGAACGTCTAAGGCGAAACGCCTGGTCGGCCCTACCAACACGTCTGGGGATGCGACAGGGCGGAGTTACTTCTAAGAAAGATGGATGGAGGATGGGGAGGAGGAGCATGAGGAGGAGGAAGAGGAGGAGGAGGAGGAGGAGGAGGAGGAGGAGGGGAAGGGGAAGGGGCAAGGGGAGAGAAATGTCGGGGACAAAGGACAGGAGGAGGGCCGAGACCAGGTCGCGTCGTGAGCAGATCGCGACGGAACGTTTTTTCGCCGATTTCGTCCTCTCGGGGCCCTTACCATGCCCCGGAGACATCATACGACGGTCCGAGGCTTTTTAAAATGACGTTTCAGGATACAAAGCATGAAGTTCTTGCATCTTGATCAGGATAAGACGCTGGTCCTGGGGAAGGGCGACCAGACCTTGAGGGCCAACGCTACGAAAAGATCGCGACGTCGAAGGTATGTGAGGCGTTCCAGAAACGGCCTCGCCTTCGAGAGTCGAGGGAGTGGCCATCTCTTCCTCGGCGGAAGGCGGCGGAAGGACGGCGGAAGTAATCTTGGGGCGGCTCCACCTGCGGAAGCTGAAGGCCAACGGAAACCGGCGGAAGTACAAGATGCGCCCCCAAGAGATGGCAACATGTTTGTTCAGGATTTCCGGAATTGGCCGTGTGGGGGAGGAGGGGGGTATCATGCAGGCGGGCGCCACTTCGACCCACGTCTACGCCGACATTCCCATTGGATGCCCTCTGACAGGCGGGATCAGTAACTTGCTCGGACGATCAATATCGAGGGGGTCATCGCGGATAGAGGCCAGGATGTCCGAGGCGGGGGTTTATCCACATCCACCGCCTGGGGGATCGATCCTCGTGGACCTCCACAGGCGGTGGATATGTGTGTATATATATATATATGTATATATATATATATATATATATATATATATATATATATATATCGATATCCACCGGCCGCTGGGGCACCAGGACGTCGGTTCCCAGGCGGTGGATACGGATAAATTGCCGCCTCGCAAAGATGATCGTCCGCTCAGCAGCCCGCAGCGAAGGGGGTGTGGGGGGGGTGCACTTGCGCTGCGCGCGAGGAGCGCGACGCGGGCGACCGACCTCCCTGGCGGAGGCCGTGCGGAGCCAGGACGCCGAGGCGCGTGGGGCGGCGAAGCAGACCGGCTGGCCCCCCGAAGGAGGGAACGGTGCCCTTCCTGTGCCCTCCTCTCCGTCCTCGCGCCCGCTCTCTCCCCCGCCGCTGCCCCTCCCTCTCCTCCTCCTCCTCCTCCTCCTCCTCCTCCTCGACACAGCCCTGCGCGACGATGGGTCTCGCCGCACACCTTTGAGCTGGATGGGTGGCGCTCCCCCTTTGATGCGGGGCCATTACCACTTGCGCCACCACCCGCTCCCGTTCACCCCACGGGTGAAACACACGGAAAAGACAAAGCCAAACGAGTTAGGCAATATGGAGAGAATCAATCTCACCCGCACGGACCTGATCGCCAGTTCTGAACGGCTGGCGGAGCAGGTGCCACTTCTTATTGAGACTGTATCGTGCAGGCGCGCGCGCGAGGTTCGCCAACACGCGCGCGCCGTGGGAGGAAGCCGCAGGGGGTCCATTGCACTGCTCAGACCGCTTGGCAGAGACTTTGCGACCTCCGAGCCCACACACTGCACACACGACGCACCAAGTGCCCTCCTGAAGCTGAAAGGGATGCACGAGGTGCCTGCGCCCATCAGCTGCTACAACACGCGCGTTCGCAGCATCTGCGCGCAGGAGAGGGCGAGGGGTGGCGACAGGCGGGGGTGGTTCAACCACGATCATGGGCTGACAGGAAAACTGACTAGATGGCTTCTGTTCAGGCTTAACATGCTCACAGTCAAAATCGGCAAGACTCGCCCCTACTTGGGCCACCCATTTAGCGTAGTGAGCCAACACCTTAGCTCTGGCAGTGACCTGCTGACGCAAACTCTGATCAATCTGAACACGAAAAGCAGACCACTGGGCCCACGAGTCGGCCTCATCATTGCCAGCCTTTTCAAACGCACTGCTGAGACCGAGCTGCACACGTGCACTCGTGCAGTGTCCCTTCACAGTGACGAGACAGATCTGAGAGGGACCACCCCAATCGTGAATCTTTGTCCACACCGCGCGCCACAGCTCGGACCATGCACTGCGGGAGCCACAACACTCCCGCTCTCCACGCTTGTGCACACCGTCATGCACGAAGGCGGAGTCTGTGTACAATATGGATCCTGGGCACGCGTGCTGTAGCCAACGATAGAACGCAAAAAGCTCAGCATAGTCGATGTCCTGACAGAACTCATGCAACGTACCACACACAACAAAGAGCACACGAGACGCATCGGGACACAAGGCAACAGCGGCCCACCCCACCGCCTGCGCGTGGGGGGGGCTTCTGGTCGATCCACGACCCGTCGAGGAACACATGTCCTGATAGGGCCTCGGGCCCTCCTGCGAACCACCTATCTGGGACAGGACGGGTGGCAGGGAGGGGAGCAAGCGGCAGCAGCAGCCTCTCAGCAAAGAGGAGGGGAAGAGGTTGAGTGGCAGCTCGCACGAGGGTCGTGAGAAAGGATGGAATGCGAACTCCTTCCATGATCTCCTCGTGCAAGCCACACGCTGCATGCCTGTGCAGCAGGGTTCCTGGGGCTGACCCGCAACCTAGACAGATGGCATTGGTCGAGAGCCCAGCCTCCCATTGACGATGCTGCGGCCACTGGCCTCCAGAGATCACACTCTTGAGATGCCCGCGCTCAACAGGCAAGAGGGGGCGAAGGCTTCTGAGCGGAGTGAGGTCGCACCCATTTTGCAACTCAGGCACATCCGATCTATTGGCGACCTTACCCCAAAGGCAAAAATCGACCACCCTCTGAAGCCAGATCACAAAGGTCCTGGGGCCGACGTCCCTGACCGAGATGCGCCCCAAGACCGAGTGAGCGAAAACGAAACCGTCGACCTGGAGCCCCAGGCGGATGGCAGTTGCCGCGCAGGCTGTGAAAGGACCCTGAATGCCAGCCCAGGGGTTTCCGTGGTCGGAGAAGCGACGGACAGCATCGTTTATTCCTTGCTCGAGCATGCGCACAGGAAGCAAACCATCCCAGACGGCCACCGCAAACATCTGCAGAGGCTCAATATTTGATTTGCACGCGGGGTCGCATCGGGGTGCTTCAGACATCATAAGAAGCAACGTGAGACTGCGACCCGACAGCTTGGCGACCTGCACATGTGCCTGCATAGCTCTGGCGAGACGCAGCACTGTGCAATTCGTGCCGTACACAGCACCCCCATACTTACAGGAGGCCAGGGGGGCAGCTTGCACCATGTTGTGCAGCCAGCACTTTTTAACATGCGGTCCGAGCGAGACGATCTTCCGGGCCCGAGCGTGCGCCGGTGCCCTGCGAGCGGCTCGCGTGGCACGAAAGCGGCAGACTGCAGCGGCAAAATCGATACCAAGGTTGCGCTCTGTTTGAGCGCCCTGAACATTAAACCTGCGGGGCCTTCGGACGAGCTGAGCCCTGATATGAGCCGACGACGCAACGACCCGACTCTTACGACGATGCACGACCAAGTGAACCTTCTCAAGCTCAGCATGCAGCATGGTGGTGGCCCCTGCTAGGTCTCCCACCACATCCTGCGCACGTCCAACCCTATGGGCTCCAAAATCGTCCACCACGACCCCCAGACTGACGTGCTGATAGGCCGCCACAACCTTATCAGCGGGGCCGAGGAGGATGAGTTGCAACGACAAAGTGGCGAAGTGACTGCCAGGCAAGACGGCCTGGTGGGCCAGAAGAGGCCGAGAAAACACGTCCCCCAGCGACGAAATCCGCGGGGCCCTGTATAGCTCGACAAGAAGCTTCAGCTGGTGGAGCGGAAACCCCGATCTACTCGCAGCGAGCACAAGCTCGCTGTGACGAACGAATTCGAAAGCCTTCTGCAAGTCAAGCAGGAGGAGCCCACTAGAGAAACCTCGTGAGGCCGCCCACTCTGAGCTGGCGGCCTGGACCCAGACGAGCTTGTCACTGCTGCGTCCAGACGTGTACCAAAAATGTGGCCGATGATTGCGAGCTTGCCATTGCTTGATAAGCGGGCGCCGCAGACGCCCCTGGATACGGGCAAGAATGTGAATGAGCGCAATGGGCCGAAATCCACCCTCGCGTTTGCCGAGAAAAACAACCTTGGTCCAGAGACGCGGCCAGGAGCAGGAGGATTCGACCTCTCCTAAAAGATCGATCAAGGCCATCAAGGCCCCGTCGGAGAGGTGCAACAGCTGCCGAGGGGAAATCGCATCGAAACCGCATCCTGACCTCTTGGGGAACGTGCGAACGCACGCTTTAAACTCATCGAGACTGGGAAGCGAAAGTTCGCGGCCAAGGTCCGCAGGCCAGGCGATGGAATCCGACAGAACCCCCACCTTCCACCACCCAGCCCACTCAGCCTCAAGCAAATCCATCTCCTCGGCCATAGTAGCGGGACGCGAGGCACCCTGCACCTGCACCGAGGAACTGGGGACCCAAGGCTGGACAGGCTTGGTATATGAAAAGAGAGCGGCTCCACCGTCACGGCTGTGAGTGGAGCACCATTCTCTCCAACCGCGGAGCCTATCAGTTTCAGCTTGCTTCAGGGCTTCGCTAGCTTGGAGGGCGGCAGCCTTCGAAGCCAGCTCAGCGAGCTCATAAGGAAGCTCGCGCGCCAGAGACAACAGCGTGAGCCAGGGCTCAGCCTCAGACTGAGGAGCTCTGCTGACCTGGGACATGGGCCCGAGGCGCCTCGCAAGGCGCAAAGAGCAAGCACGACTGGGGACAGGCTGAGCAGACCCCAATCCAGACAGGCACCTGGTCAGGAGACGCCACCACGTGGCAACAGGCGAGATCCTGGGAAAGCGCACAGGCAGCGGCTTCGGTGGCGCCTTCACAAAAAAACTGGGGGCCCTCAGCGCGGCCGAAGTACTCGGAGTCGGCGTGCGGCAGCAGGTCGTGGGCGTCCGCGAAATCGGCCTCGGCGGTCTGGACCCATAGCTGCCAGCGCATGCCCACGTCCAGGCCAGCACGCTCGACGGTGTCTCGATGCTGCTCCCAGCGTGGTGTAGGATCAGCGCGGACACAGCCCACCGGTAAATCGAGAGGAAACCGACGTGGCACCCGAACAGCCGCATGACAGGGCTCACACCTTGCTTGCACAGGAATGGTAAGCCGCACAGGATAATGCGGCGTAGTTGCAGCATCGGTTAAGACCTCAAGGCGACAATCATGAGCAATGGAGTCGGCAACCACGCAGAAATCGATTACCCTGGCCTTGGAACCCGAAGAATTCGTACATGTAGGCACCGCTGGAGCCAAGATGGTAGCGTCGGGTGCGGCAGGCCATCCTGATGCTTCCAGCTCGTGCGGATCCAAATTGAAACCACCAGACACGATGAATGGCAGTCCTGATAATTTGACTGCATCACCTATCTGGGTTAGAATGTGCCAGTTCTTACTTGACAATCCTTCGCTGCAGTGCAAGTACACGGCCACCCACAGAAAGCCAATGTCTGTGATCCCGCAACATGCTTGATCGAAACTCTGCCTGGAATAAGAGAGCTGGGAATATGCTCAATGTCAGCGAGGCCAACGCACTTGGGAACCATATGCGCCATACCACCGCTGGAACCGCCACGCTGGGTATCCACGGCAGCTGCTACACTGGCGCGCCATCCGCGCTTCGACAACTTGCTCTCCCATTCATTAACTTGATGCGGTAGAAGGTGATGTTCCTGCACCACCACGCCGTTGCTGCTGAGGACTTTGGGATGCTGGAGCAGCGCCTCCAACCCTGCGGTCCCCGTTACATAGCTGGTGACCAGAGTCCAGGCGGCCAAGCTAGGAAGAAGGCCCGCCAGCAGACTCGGCGGTGGTCGACTTGAACTTCTTGGTGGCGGCCTCCTGCATCTGGTCGAAGATGTCACGAATCCATTCATGCTTGACACCGTCTGCGCCTCTGCGAGCCAGGCAAGGAGCTCGGCGCGCGCTGCCTCGGCTCGCTGCCTGGCAGCGGCGGCAGCAGCAGCACGCGCGGCCTCGTGCTCCTGCTCCTGCTTGGCGGCTGCAGCTGCGGCTGCGGCCTGAGCGGCGTCCGCGCGCCGCTTGGCC